GGTCTTTCCATGGCATATGAGCAAATAAACTATTTACACTACTATCCTGTAATATGTTGTAGTCTTTCAGTGGTATATTTTAAGGTTTCCCAGTTTCATGTATACTTAATATTTTCTGGAAACACATACGTCTGTCTGGCTGCTTAAACTCAAGACACTAAATATACTTGGTAAATTGTAAGTAAAACCCCTCCCTATACAAAATCTTGAGCACTTGCTGTATGAAATGAAGGAACCAAATAGATTTTGATAGTGAGGGATACTTCTCCAAAATCATACTTCTTAATCGATTTTCTCCAGTTATCATTATAATGACAACTCCAAGTTATCAGAAGTTTAGTATATTGTTTTTCGTATATTCTTTTTAGGGAAGCAAGGAAATTTGTATTTTAGAAAACTGTATGGCTTAAAAACAAAGGGGTATAAACTTGTCATTTTAAGAAATTATCGTTGCATTACGTCTTCATTCTCAGTTCTGTGCTCTTCCCGCTGTACAGTTATACAATGTAGTTGAAACTATAAAGGGGACAAGTTTCACAGTTAAGAATCTCTAGTTTGTTTCGTACCAGGACAAAGAAATAAGGCCTTTAACAGTCCACAAATTGAGTGTTTTCAAACCCAAACTATAGCAATTAAATTCAAATAAGGCACACAAGGTTGGGTTTAAGGGCTTTATATACCAGTAGCATCTTTTTAAAAAGATACTTACCAACGACTCAGAATTAAGTCCCCTAGTTCCAAGCCCAAATCTTTAAAAATCTAAGTCCTCATCCACTAAAATTCACTGCAATGAATGCAGTGACCCTGCTGACTCAAAAGAATGGAGCTTGCTAACCATCACACTCTGCAGGTTCAACATATTGGCTCTGTAGAATTACCTAATTTTGCATTGAAATATGCTCTTGTATCAGCTTTATAATTCACATATGTTAATTTAAATATCTGATAAAACTCTTCTTAGCCCTAATATGTCTTCTAAATTGTATCAGAAATGTCTGCAAAAATGAATATACTATCATCCTAGTTCATACAAAAGGATTAATATTAGTTTTCCATCTTTTAAAATACTGCATCTATTTCTAAGAAAAAATGTGAAGCAAAACAAATGCATTAAGTATTAAAATACCTTTTTGATCCTTTTTATGGAGAAAAGCAAATATTACACAGAAAACAATGGGCATCTAGCATCTCACAGCACAGAACTGCTGCATGAGAGGTGTTTAAAGGGAAAAGTTGACACAACTTATTTAGTAAAAGATGCCATTTTTTCTAATAAATTATATTTATTTACAAAAGGTCTAATTTTATGTAACTGAGGTTTTTTACATCAGAATATATAAACAGAAGAGAAAAATCTGGTAATTACAAACACAGAACATAAACTTTGTTCCCCCTATTTTTCACCTTTCAGAACAAGTCTTCAGTTGTAGAGGCGGGCAAGAGACCAACACTTACAAAAAATGTTTGCAGGCAGGACCAAAAAAATGTTTATAAATAGCACATTTAGATACCCCAAGGAACAGCATAAAAGGGCATCAAGAAATGGCTTATTTTGAATCTGGTCTTATTAGGTAGCCACTCTGTTTTATAGTTTATGACTGAAAACTGGAGTTGGGGAAGTCAGCCAGTTCCCCTGAAATGCCCCACACCTAGGGCAATTACCATCAAATTAATAGTTATTGTCAGTCACTAACAATAAGATGGCCTTGAACTAGATCCTGAGTCACAAAAGCAGTTTTTATATAGCAAGTTTAGAAAGCACAGAAAATCTACTGCAATTAAGGAACTTAGGCCAGGTAGACAAGCTAAATAAAATGGAGGGCTGGTGGGGGAGGGGGGGTAGAGTGGGGGAGGGGAGTAGTTGGGCAATTGAAGCAAAATCTTAGTTCCTACCTTACCATTAAGTCAGCTCCAGTGACATTTAAGTGCCTGTGATGTCATCATTATTCAAACCCTTTGTCAAAGACAGCCTGAAATGATTTGTTCTCAGCTTAGAATTGAAACAGAAATTTTGCTATTGTGTCCATTAGGGCCTTCAACTGTAATCTAGCTAAATGTTAGCTCCTCAAATAAAAGTTACATGTAAACTGCTATTGTATAATATTAACTTATGAATACAATAGGAAGATATGTTTCAAATCACAGGATTTCTTTTCCTACTCAAAAACCACATGTAAGTTACATGTTCTAATAAGTTTTTGGACTTTTCTGAAGTAACAGTTAAAGTACAGTTACTAAAACATCTTCAGTGTACTTCAATTACGTATGTGGCTTTAGCTGTATTTTAATATGGTTTATTGCAATGCTTTTTCAAGTCCTGTAATAAATGGGTACCATGGATGCTGGCTGAATACATCTGTCAACTAACATTTTACATTCATTCAATAGATGCCTATCATATGCCAGGCACTGTTCTAATCCACAGGATACAGCAGTGAATGAAACAAATCTCTGTCCACAAAGAACTAGACCACCACTAAAGTCAAAACAATTGAAAACGTAAGAGCAAGGTAAGAATAAGGAAGGTAAGAATCAATTAGATCAGTATTACCAGAACTACAGAATGAGATTATAAGCCTATTATTATAAACCTATTAGATTCCATGAAAATTACTCATGACGTTGTTTTCCTTTTTGTGAAATGAGTGCAGTTTTACCTAGAGAATGTAAAAGAATTAATCTCTACTTTGTATTGAGATACATCCTCAGGGTAAAAGTCAGATTTAAGTATAAAGAATGAATGTGCTTTGCCTCATTTTGCTTTTAGAAATGTTTATTTAGTTCTTTACTTTTGTAATTTACATTTAAATTACATAATATACTTAAATATCCTATAATCTTTTAAAAAAGCATTCATCACTCTTCCCTAAGTTCTGATTAGAAACCCTTCTCTCTTAAATAGCATGTAGGCTTAAAAAAAAATCTATATAAAAGGGGCTTCCCCTTTCTAGATGCAAAAATAACAGTAGCTGCCTCATCAGCACTCAGCTGACCATTAACACTGGAAGAAAACAAGAATCATGTAGGCAAACGCTTCTGACACAGGACGCAGGCCCTTTGGTAACTGAATGAAAACTATGGACCTTCTTTCCAGAAGGATGTACAGATGTTTTAGGAGTTTTTACAGTTTCTTCATTCTACCACTATGAATTAAGCTTACCTTACTGTAGGCCAATCCTTTTCATAATTGTATAAAATGAGGCCCAATTAGCAAAAACCAAAAGATGAATAGCTATGATACTCATTATTTTCAAATTTATTTTTATTGTTGAAAAACATGGATAATCTATATGCTAAAGCTACTTTGGGTAATGGTAATGAAATGCCATCACTATGTTGAAAAAATGTGGGACCACTGCTTTTATTTGAAAGCAATGAATTATTACACTTGGGAAAAGGGCAATGAGTTCCTCATACTTGACTAAATTAACTTTTCATATAAATTTAATTTTCCCACATAGGAATTATAGACAGGGAGAAAATAAAACATCAAATATTTGAAATTCTTATTTTGACTAAGTATATTAAATGTATTCATGAATTTAACCTGATAATTATGAGAAATCTTTAACATTTACCTAAAAGTCTGAGACTTAAAAGTATAAATTCCCATCATCTGAAAATACTTTTTCTTGAACACATTTGTTCAAACTCCTATTTCAACGTATCTGTTTAATTCTAATAAAACCAGTATTACAAGACATTTAAGCTTTTACCAGACTGAAGATTTAGAAACCTAAATCTTAATAGGTAAAAAATATTCACACAGAACTCTTACTTTAACAAAATCTTCCCATCACCTGTGTCTTCAGACTGTACAGTATCTTCCTAGCAACTAAATCTCATTTGATGGGATCATCAAAGGGTGATAGACAAGGGTTATAGTCACTTGAATTACATCTTTTATAACAAGGATGTTGTATTCTGAGTTGTAATTTGTTCAATAGTTTTGTTTTTAGGTCAAATAATTTTTATGGATGATATAGGGAAACTTGAATTTGTATTGTTTTCAAGGGATGTGAGGTTGTGATAAGACAGTACCTCTATAAGAAATACAGAAATCTATTTTGAGGACATGCTAAAACACATCAATAGCTTTTTATTTAAATAGAAAAATCAAAACTTTAAAGTTGTATTTTAAAAAATCATTCATAGAATTAAAACATTTTACAGATTCTAAATTCTCTTGTGAAACATCACTAATATTTCTGCCAATATTACGTTTATTTTAAAGATTTTACCACTGACTTCCATGCCAAGTGTTAGACATGATTGGCAATATTAACTATCATTACAATGGGACCTCTGAAAATTAAGTCTAGGTAACTCCCTGTTGCCAAAGTTGTTATGTGTTTTGATTCTAATGTACATATAGGAGACCCAAGCAAGCAACTTGATTACTTCACATTTTCTAAAGATAGTGATTCTCAATGTCATATTTCACAGCAGAAAAATGACTTGGCAGAGAGTTTAAAAACAGTCCCCCCGTACCCACCCCCACCTTTTTTTGTGGCTCTCAACAGTAGATTTAATTGAAACGGAACAGGGATGGGAAAGAATCATCCTGGTCAGTCCCACTTTCAAATTCATTAGGATGATGAAGGAAAAATAAAACGAACTTTTTGTTCTTCTAAGTCTCAACTTGAAATAGGATCAAAGTATCCAAAATAAAAAAATACCTAAGATAATACCAAAGACTATATGCTAAAATTTACTATTAAAAAAAAAAAAATCTCCTGCACTGAAGGAATATAGTATAAATTACATTACCAACCTTCAAAAGTTAGCATGTAAAAATATTCTAGCTCCAAACCACTGCCTCGCTATTCTACAGGAAATTCATAGATCAAAAACAAATATAGGGGCCTCAGATGCACTGATTTATAATCTTAAGTAACCTAGCTATGTCGGTAAGAGGAAGCAAAATTTCAGGGGTTTAGTATCTATTTTTAAATGATCATACAATTTTTTTAGAGCTGAGGAGTTTACGTAGAAATAAATACTAGTACACACTAGAAGAGAAGGTTTAATAATCGATAAAAATGTACAAAAATATTCAAATCAGAAATGCTTTAGAATGTGTACCACGAAGTCAATACTTCTCAGTGAGTAGGGAAGGTAAAAGACTTCCTCAATGAAAAAAAAAGCAAGTGAAAGATCGGATTTAAAAAAAAAAGACAACTGTTAAAGAAATGTTTGTCAACATTGATTTTTGTTTTAGACAAGAATATTGCAACTATCACTTAAAGTTTGGTGGCACATTCTTTAGTAGGTCCTTAAGGCAATATATTTAAACTAATTTACAATTTGATTTGATGTTAACTTTTTAAACATCACCTCAAAATAATGCCCTCACAATAGCCTTTTTAAAATGTACTCAGATGTTTCATAAAAAATAATGGTGGCTTTATTACAGCAGTGCTCATTAGCACCACTATTGTTAAGGGTCTACCAGGTTTCCATTAAGAATACCTATTTCTGGGTTCACCATAAAAGATCAGCTTTAACCAGTTGGGGTAGTGCACAAAAAAGCCATTTTATCAGTTGCTGGTGCTTTTTTTGTACTACTGGATATCAAAAAATTTTTCACTATATCTTCAAAATCCAACTTCTATAAAGTAAATCAAATCACCTCATCACTTAGACTTTAGAACAAAGTAGAGACATTTGCAGTTATCAGTAAATTGCCACCTTTAATCCATCCTGCGGTGCCCTATGAAAGGGACACAAAGACATGACTGTATGAAAATATGATTCTTGATACAGAATCGAAAGTTACTTTCAATTTCCTTTGCTTTTATAAAGTCCACAATAACAATACTTAAATGCACTTTTTTTTTCTCCTGTGATATAATTAAAACCCAGTGTTATTTCCATTGAACTTAAAATAGAGTCCCTGGTCTGAATTAGACTTTAAACCATACTGTAAACATATATTTGGTATAATTTATTGATCATCATCCAGTTGCTCCAAAAGGGTCCTTCTGCGCTTTTCCAATTCCCCTTCACTCAGTTCACTGCCAGAAGTATCCCAATTACCCTGAAAAGACATTGACTACAATTACATTTCATGTTAGTACTCAAGTAGTAGTAGTGAATAAAATCTATATGGAGTCTCTTTCATAGAAACAAACATCACAGGGTTTAAAGA